CTTGTTTTGACAGTATTATGATTTGAGAAACATATTTCGATCTTATATTTTTCGGTTTATCGTATTTCGATTGCTGTTGATTTCAAAGCTTTTTGAACTAAACATTGAAAACAAATATCTTTCTTCACAACCAACGATTTTTTTTTTCAGAAAGCCAACTTGGTTCAACTGAAAATAATTCAATAAATCATGAGCTGTTGTGAAAATTGGAAAGGTGAAAGACCAGTTGCTTCAGAACTGAAATGTTATTTGAAAAATAGAGGTAAATTTGAATAGATTGTCGGGGAGCTAGCCCATGGCCTGATTCACTGCGACCTTTTCAGATCTATTGTGATGCTCCTTGGTTGTTAGAGCTCATTGTCTAGCTTGATCTCTTTGATGAGACTCCATAGCCTTGACACTGACCAATTCATATAGCTGCCAGCCTCTGGTTTTTCTTCCCCGCATCTTGCGTGTCTCAGCCTTGCTATCGCTTCGCATTCACAGAGCACATGCAGTGCGGTTTCTTCCTCTTCTTGACAAAACCTTCTTTGGGTTTTTTTTGTCAGGTCCATGTTGCTGATATGTTTCCTGAGTCGGCTATGCGGTTTTGTTACACAAAACCGCATAGCCGAGAATGATCCAGGCGGATCATATATTCCACATAGAATAGAATAGAATAGAAATTTATACATCATTAAAAATTTCATACATGTAGTAGGTACATACAGATATAAAACTTTATCAGACTAGTCAGAACAGAACATAAAGCANGGAACTCATTACCGGATCTACTATAACAAATGCCCATATCTTATACAAATCTATAACCAACGACAAAATGAACATGACACAGTTCAGAGAGGAGATAACCAGAGGTCTGCTCGAAAAAGAGGTGCAACTTCAAGAAAATATTCCAGTTGAAGAGGAAACGCGATGTGCACTAAAAAAAGACTCAATAAGAAGGAGATGCTGTGTTTGTTATGAAAATATGTCAGTAGAACATGGAAGAGAGCACGCTATGAAAAAGTGTAAGCAAAGTCCCTATAAATGTGAAGGATGCCAAAAATTTTTTTGTGTTGAATGTTTTTTTTTGAAACATAAATTTGTAAAACAATAGAATTATTTTTATATATTTCAATATTTTGTACTGTTTTTCCAGCATACAAATTTTTTTTGTAAATGTGTCAAATAGTTTTAATAAAAAAATAAAGTGGTTCCTGTTTCACTGATACCTCAATTTCAACAAGTCCCAAGTGACGTAACTCTTACATGAAAATATGGGCTAAATTGAATAAGTTAGTCCTCAGGCCACGCTAAATGCATTTTCTTATGATTTATACATATAGCGACCGTGAAGTATATTTAACTCGCAGAACGTAAAGTCAATTGTGTATGTGGAGTTGTATTTACCTCACGAAACTTGGTGACTAAACACACCGTGAGTTATATATAACTCACATGGCGTTCAATGTGTTAAAAAGATGCAAGAACGGTGATCAGCTTGAATTAGTTAAAATTGTAAAATCTATATATTTGTACAAGTAAAATAAAGTAATTATACAATAATGCCTACAGTTGTAGAAATTCATCAGTAGAATAAAATGCATTTTTTGTAAGCTACTCAGGTAAAGTACTTTGGAATTCAGTAAACTACATATGTTTTTAAATAGCTGAAGTGCTCTATTATAGCAGATGATACCCTGATAACTTGATGATCCCTGACCAAGAACCAGTCGAGTGCCAATTCAGTAAAGGTATTTCTACAGGATTCTCTGTGACGTAGACCTACCATACATTTCATTATCCTTTTTTGCACAGTGAATAATTTTGTCATATGGGCCGAATTTTCCCAAAAGGCCAGCCCATAAGACATTGCAGACTGTATGAGTCAAAATACGTCAGTTTGAGTACCTGCAATGAAACAGTTCCCCGTAACTGTATCATTATAAAACATAAGCTACTCATTTTTGAGGTAAGATTTTCTATATGTACTTCCCAAGTCAGTTTTTAATCAATTGTAAGTCCTAAGTATTTGATATGACTGACCTGCTGTATAGATTTATGATCGATTCTTATGAGAGGATTATGATCATATGAAGTATTTTTTGTGGGAAGAACATGAAGACTGTTTCATTTGTATTAACTAGTAAACCATTATTTTTACACCAGTGTGAGAATTCTTCTGAAGTTTTGTTTGCGACTTCTATCGAGAGTGAAAGGTTGTTTTTTGCTACTATTTGGCTTGTACCATCTGCATATGTTATAGTTTTATTTGGTTCTGATTTTATCGAATCAATAACTACTACCTGCATCCTGTTTTTTAGATATGAAGCAACCAAGTCATTGGCTACCACCCTAATCCCCATTCGGTAAAGTTTTTCAAGAAGTGATTCATGTTTAATGGTGTCGAAAGCCCTGGTAAGATCAAAATACAAGCAGAATGGGAATTGCTTCTCATTTAGGTTCATATATATGTGATCACAGAATTCATTTATCGCAGAACATGTCGATCTTTTCTGCCTAAAGCCGTGCTGGCAATCAGGAATAAGTTTGTGATGTTCAGTGAATTCACTCAATCTCATATAGTAGCTATAATTGATTATTTTTGCTAATTGTGATTGCAAACATATGTTTCTGTAGTTGTTTACTTCATTTTTAGAACCTTTGTTTTTATAGATAGGGACATATTTTGATACTTTGAGCGCATCCGGATAAATCCTTTTAGAGAATGATTTGTCTATAATGTATGATAGGGGCCCTCAAGGTTTTCACATGTATTTCATCTACACTTGTAGTTGGCGTTTTTGTTGTTTTTTTTATAATCTCTTGAACCTCCACTGGGGTTGTCGAGTATAGAAATAAACTATTGATAAAAAATGATGCTGATTTTATATCCTTCTTTGGCTCGATTTTCTCAATACTTATAAAGAAGTCATCGAAGTGATTACCAATTGCTTCCCTATCCCCATATATACCTCAAATGCAAAAATTAGTATCCCAATGCTCATATATATTGCACCGAAATTATATGTACGAGGATGGCCTGTTTCCGACCTAACAAAGATACAAGACTTTTCAAAGATTTTTTATTAATTTTCAACATGGTCTCCTTTTAACTCTATACACTTCTCCCAGCGATGCCCCTATCTCTGTAACCCGTCCAAATAGGACTCGACGTTTTTCTCTGCAGAATAATTGTTCACCAAGGTGATTGAGCCTTCATTTGACGAAAATATCTGTTCTCTGAGCGCGATTTTTAAATGAAGGAACAAATAGAAGTCGCTTGGGGTTAAATCTGGTGAGGCGAATGGTCAAGCAGTTCAAACAGTAATTCGTGGATTTTCGCCATGGCAACCACTGAGGTGTGAGGCGGTGCGTTGTCTTGGTGAAACAGAATTTTCTTTTTCTGCAAATATGACCGTTTTTCCGCAAGTTCTGCCTCCAGCTAATAATTAATGATGCGTAGTGTGCTCCTGTAGTGGATTTTCCTTTTTGCAGATAATCGATTGAAATAACTCCATGACTATCCCAAAAAACAGTCGCCATCACTTTACCAGCCAAAAAAACAGATTTTGCTTTTTTTTGGGAGTTGGTTTCCTTTTGCAGTCCACTGTTTGGGCTATATTTTTATTTCATGCGCATAATGTTGTATCCAAGTTTCATCTACAGTAATTAATCGGTGCTAAAAGTCGGACTTATTGCGCCTAAACTGCGCCAACACAGCGTTGGAAATGTACATTCGAACACGTTTCTGGTCTAATGTGAGCAAACGCGACACGCATCGCGCGGACAGCTTTCTCATGCCTAAATGTGACAGACACCTTCTTTTGAAATGTCCATAACCTCTGCTATCCCTCTCACGTCAATTCGGCGGTTTTTGGACGTCCCAAACGTTCATAGTAGGTTTGTTCTGGTTCTACGAAATTTCAGGTTCTAGGACGTCAAGATCATGCGCAGTTGATATAGAGCGTTCTGGTTTATTGAGGATAATTTCGGATTGATGAATCCTCTGTTCTGGTTTCGACTGCGAAATGATTCTAAACTGTGTTGAACCGTCCCGAATCGTTCTTGCTCTCGAGGCTCAACTGTCCAGAACTGTTCCCGTTGCTCATGGGCATTCATGTGGAAATTTGTTTGGGCTATTTGCTAGGATGTTCTTTCATTTATTTCTGTTTAAAATCTGTTTTTCCGTTAATCAGCTGCCGCCGCCATACGAACGACAACTCTCAGAAGTTGAGAAACTTGTGCGAGCTAAGGACTAACGAGGTCTTACCTTTTAACGTGTGATTCCTAACACGGATTTGAATAATTGATGATTGAGGTTAGATAACATTTGAACTGACTATAAGGATACGCTACATAACAAAATGGGCACGATTAACAGTATTTTCTCGTCTTCATCTATTCATTTATACGATAGGTGGCACAGTAGTCTCCTCAAAAGCGTTCTGGTTTAAACAAGTGTCCGAGACTATTTCGGACCGTTTGAGATTTTTTGTTTGTACGCATCATGTCTTGCGCTGTTTCCAAACAGTTTCGGATGTTAGAACCAGAACAAACCTAGTCTCTCAAGCTCTTACGGCCACGTTTAAATTCAGCTGTCCAAAATGCCACTCTGCACACAGTGCAGCTGAATTTGGTGAGTAACTGTCAACAGAGGAACAACAAAATTCACTAGCTTTCATTTACGAATGCTACTATGGTTAGTCTATATACAAAGCTACTATCTTCATATTGAAATAGGCGGGAACTGTCCCGGAATTTTTTGAGACATTTAGGTACTCAATATTGAGCAACAAATCTGGATATTTTGTCAATCTCGATTCACTTGTATAGTGAATGTAGACTCGAAAAGACTATTCCTAAAAAGACAATATTTTTCTCTAATGAAGATGACTTAAGTCAATAGTTCTCAAAAATAGGTAAATTAAGTATTGTTATGAAACGATAATTCTTGATAATTGAAATATGTTTGGGAAACAGTTTCCTTTATTTTACTGAAATATAATAAATAGTCCTTACATCAAAATACATTTATTTAATTATGGCAGAATTTCATTAAGAAGAAAATGTGTGTTTTTCTGAGCGTTATTTCTTATCCAGTCTCATTTAAGATTTTTTTGAATCCAAGGTAAAAACTTGGCAACGCGTGTATATACTCCAGGATACTGCCCTTTTCCACATCCTATACCCCAGGAAACTATTCCAACTTGTGTCCATTTTCCAGTGTTGATCATCAGAGGCCCGCCACTATCTCCCTGAAATATAAAAAAGACAACTTCTTAATACTGATCTTCACATAATAAAATGTGTATATTTTCTAAAATTTTGATTACAGAGTCGCAACACGTTGAAAATACGAAGATACTTTGCAAGCAATATTGAAAAAAAACATTGCCAGTGTTGATACAGGAGACATGGGTACAATGCCCCCTCTTTGGTTCAAAACACAACCATATCATTAATGGCAAGCAGGTGAGAAAGTCGTCGTTAATTCCATAATATGAATGAATAATCTGAAGACTGAATTCCAAACCATCGAGGCTATAAAATTTATTAAATTGATGGATGTAGCCGTTACTACGTGGTAGGAAATCATAATGAATTGAAACTTTCTACGTTTTTTTACCACTTTTATTTATAAATAACATTACTGCAGTTTCGTCCTATAATACATTTTCAAACTTATACATTAAGCCAACAATGGTTTATTACATTATCCCTTATATAGCACCCCTGTAGGTAATAATAGAGGTACTTGGCTTGATTGAGTACCTGAATTTACAATGCGTATGTGCTAATTTGAAAACCGATGAGTAAACTAAATCGATTTGATCATTTAACAGGTTACACCCGCAATGTTTATGCTTGTGAATTTCCCAGGATTCTAAATAATTGAGTTTGCAACCCTGTCTTGCATAGTGCAAACTTTCCGTATCGTTTAGATTCGGAAACTTGTGGTTGCATGCCAAGGAATAGTTCGAAAACGTCGAACTATTTTTTCCTAGTCTAAAGGACCTTTCATGTTAAGCATACCGTTTTCGAAATTTCGACCACATTGTCCCACATAAACACTATTACACTCCGGACACTTAAGTAAACTCCAGATTTCTCCAACTTGTTCACCTCATCTTTGGCATTGAAAAGCAAATCAGATAACCTGGCATGTGGTCTGAATGCCACTTTCTGAAGAAACCCGCAATTATCTCTGTTCTTTTTCCAAAATATGTTAGAGTTACCCATATCTTGATTTCTGTAAGTGAATTTTCGGCTTTGTTTCCTGACTAACTTCTGGATAGTATCTGCGTTGAAACCATTATTATGAACTATCTGTGTGATTATATCAAATTCTCTAGCTAGATTGTAAGCAGACAAACGCAGTGAGAATGCTCTGTGCAACATTGAATTGTAGGCTGCCTACATTGAGTATAGTACAAGTAACCAGTCACTCAACCTTCCAGGACCAAGGCAAATTAAATTGAACTGAATAATGCGTGATCACAATAAAACCACGGACTTTAGCTCGTTTCAACAAATTCAATAATGAAAAATAAGAATTAAAACTGTCTATGTTTTTATACCACTTTGTATTTGTAACTTTCACTGCAGTTTCGTTCTACTATATTATATGGTCCTATCTACAAAGAGATTTTCAAACGACTACGAACGAGTTAATTGTAGGTATTCGTTTGAAATTGTCCTTGTAGAAAGAAAAACTGCAGTAACGTTAGTTACAATAATAAGTGGTATAAAAACATTGGAAGTTTTAATTTTTATTTTTCATGATGAACTCCTACCACTTATCAACGGCTATTAATGTAGGTATTCAATACAGTTTCCGATATAAAAACGATGGCGGTTTTTCTGTACATTCCGATAGGTGCGAGGTGTTTTGACATATCGAGGATCGCTGTGGTAGGCAACCCATTGTACAAATTTAAATAAAGGATACATCAAAAATATCACTAGTTTACAGCCAATTTACGACTGTAATGCCGAAGGCAGTTCTTAGTTAATTTTTGGTCCCTAAATGCGAAAATGATAGTAAAAATTTCCTGACACGTAAGATTTTTGAGTTATGATTTTTTTCACGAAAATTTAATGAACACGACATTCTGAATTTGCTTTTTCCCTTTTCCTCCATTTGTTCAAAGAGAATGCTGAACTATTAGGGTCTAGATTGCAACAATGGAATTTACTAGCCCCTAAAACCAAAGTTACAATATTTAGGAACCGTAACCATGAGCCATCCTCGTTTTTTACTATGCAGGATAAAATGTGTGTTTGTGTAAATCCAAATGGTGTGATGGAAAAATTAGGATTTGCACATAACCCGGATGAATGGCGTTTATTTATAGATTCATCTAGAACAAGTTTAAAAGCTGTTCTGCTCCATAATGGTAACAAAAGACCCTCTATTCCTCTTGCACATGCAGTTGCCATGAAGGAAACACACAAAAGTATGTCACTTATTCTAAATGCAATAAAAAAATCATTAGACAAAGAAGGTGATGCGTTTAAATATCTTAAACACGTTTTTCCAAAATTAAGTGATGTAAAGCTCAAGGAAGGTATATTCGTTGGAAAATTAAAAAACTACTAAGTGATCAACAGTTTGATCAAAAATTAAGTAATGTTGAATTAGCTGCGTGGAGTTCCTTCAAAAGAATTGTTTCGGAGTTTTTAGGGAACAAGAAACTAGAAAATTACGAAACACTTGTAGAAGAAATACTTGGAAACTACTGCAGAATGGGATGTTGCATGTCTCTCAAAATCCATTTCTTGCACTCCCATTTGAATATTTTCCCAGAAAATTTGGGTACTGTCAATGACGAACAAGGGGAAAGGTCCCACCAAGACATACTCACAATGGAGCAACGTTACCAAGGCAGATGGGATGCAGCAATAATGGGGGATTATTGTTGGTTCCTTATGATGGAAAACGATGAAACATATAAACGAAAGTCATTATTTGCAAAAAGGTTATGCACAAAAGACTCCATTTGGAAGTTTTTTCATGTGTATTGTAAATAAAGTCTGTTATCCTCAAAATATATTGTTTTTTTCTTTTCTTGATCTCATATTTCCCTATATGTGAAAATTTTTGTATGAAATAAAAATAACTATAACTCAAAATCTTTAAGTGATGGAATTTTTTTTATGTAGAAGTCGCAGTCAAGATGCTTTAAACTCTCATGTTTAGTCATTATAATACTAGTCGCAGTAGAAACGTAGAATAAATCAAGGGAAAATGCCCGTGTTTTGCTACAGAAGTTATGTCTCTGTCAGTTATGCCTTGCGGTATAAGTTTCCGATAATCTGCACGATTAAACTGGAGAAAATTTACATTCTTCAGAAAAAAAAGAGAACTTACGCTACAAGAATCTCTATTAGCTTGTCCGGCGCACAGCATATGTTCCACAATACCTCCTGGTGCGGCAGGTCCGTACTTCACCTTACATTCCCTATTAGTCCAAATTGGTATATTAACCTCTTGCAGCACAGCTGGCTGTGGACCACCTGGAATGAAATCGGATTACTCAAGATATACTTATATTCTCATTTTTACCAAAATGAATATGTTTTCTTCAGAAATTTTTGTGTTTTTTCTGTTGGGGCGGTACTTCTGGGACCACCTCGTATTTGAAAGTAGTTGCATGTGAAAGAAACTTCCATGCATAATCTACATATCTTTGTGAAAAGAGTTCACTTATACTCTCCTTGCAGGATCTCCGCTTTGCTACTGGTTACTCTTTATTGAGAGATAGGTACTTCGAAAACAGTCAACATAGATATCTATTACCATCAATATAAAACCACTGAATGCCTAGAAACATGTTTATAATATCTTTTCCCGGAGAGGATACAGTGGAAGTGACTAAAAACTGCAAAAGTTCAGTGATATATCTCAAGCTTCTCATTATCGTTCTTTGCAGGAAAATGCAACACTCTAAACACAAACCGCGTGATGTACCTTCTAAGGAAAAGTATGTTTATCTAATTGCCACCTCAGCTAAATGGTTCCTATAATTCTTTATATTCAATATACAGATATTGACAACACACATCTCAACATGTTGACATGCAAAATCCAGACTACATATTCTATCTACTAAAATGGCGAAAATAAACTTACTTTCTCTCAAACTGCCCCATCCTATTACCGTTCCAGTCTTTCCTGAGTGATCACTTCCTCCAGATGGCAGACACACTGGTCTGATTTGTTGAGTGAATTCTATTGGACTATCCAGAGTCAATATTGCAATATCATTGTACTGAAAATAAGTTTGTCATTTATTTTCTTCCTCGATAAATTCTGATGAAATAAGGATATCATATTTTATCGAGGTTAAAGAATAAATTGATCGAATAGTACTTTCAAAATTATATCTTCTTTAAGAAAACAGGTCCATGTTATCTTTCATATTAAGCATTTGTGGATTTGAAAATTACTTCATTTAGCACATATTCCAATATTGCACTCAGGGCCGTAGCGAAAAAAAAATCCAGGGGGGAAGGAATCTAAATTTTCCCAACCCCACCAGGAAAATTTCCCAACTTTCGAAAAAATAAAAGCCAAGAATTATTTTTCCATTTTCTTCACGACCCAAAATTTATCAACTTTTTCCCAATTCGAAAAAGCAGAGGGGGGGGGGGAAGTTTCCCCCCATCCCCGCCCATGGCGACGGCCCTGATTACACTCAACATCTATTATTTTTTGTGGAGTCGAATAGTTTCCTAGATTTTTTTCAACAGATTAATGATCATATTGGCCATTCTCAATTTCAATGCCATGAAAATTCATCCCCGCAATCTCCGATTTTTATTCGTCACCGTAACATGACTTCAAATTCAATTTTATGACTCTTCAGCCAATCATAAAACTCGGTTAGTGAACATTATCCAATACGAACCGCCATGTCTACAGTCCACGTGGTTCATTTCTATATAGGATTGGTTTTTTTGGCCTTTGAGAGTGACGGCAACTAAAGAGTGAACAATATTGTTCACTTCAACTATACCTATAATAATAACCCATACAGACTCGCCAATACAAGTGGTGTACTTAACAAGGAAGAAACAATCAGTTTTTGTGTTCCTGAAGATGCTAAGCATTAGTATTGGTCAATTGGTTTGAAATGAAGGACGGTCAGTAATCAGTACCTTCAGTGTAGGTATTCATAAAACTTGCGGGAAAAGTAAAACATGAACCTTGTAGGAAGAGAAAACAACTACAAATGTCAACTAAGTCCAAAGGAAAATCAGGAATCACCAATATAATTTATAAATGTTATTTCCATTTACAATTTCGCAAAAAGAATTCAATTGGAGGATGTTACTGCTAGATTTATAAATCTCTTAACTCCGTATGGCTATTTCAAAATTAAATATCAGAGAGGTTAGGTACTTACCAATGTCCTAGAGTCGAATCCTCTATGTCTGACTACCCGTTTAACCCTTTTCTCGACATGTCTTGTTTCTGAATTCGTCTTTATATTGTGATCTCCAAGTCTCACAGTTAATCTAGCAACATCCCAGGAACTCATGCTGGAAAAATATAAACAAAATTTTATGATCTTTGGAGAAGAATATTTGTGTTTATAATATAAAAATAGAAAAAAAATTATGAAATTTCCACAATCAAAATAATAATGATACATTCATACATGTATCACGAATGATAGCAACCAAATATTTTCTAATAGAATGGACACATTTGGGCTAGACGCACACTGGCAACTTTTTGATCTCGGTGATTTAAATATCTATTTAAAATTATGATAGAACTGACCGATACTTGATGAAAATCCATTGGATTTCATCAAGGTTGCATATGTTTGTGCTATTCTCTCAGAAGAGAGAAAAACACAGACAGATTTTCAAATTGTTTGACAGTGTGAAAAATCCAATTGAATGTTTTAATCATCTGCATATTTTTTTAATTTTTATGTCATAATTTAACTGCTTCCACGACTACTTCGATTTTTAGCAAAAAAAAAACAACTTTTTAACTGCCAGAGTGCGGAGAAAGACAGACATTGGCGTTCCATTTTGCCAGTAACAGTTTAGTCTGGAGAATTATCGAACGTATTGGATATTTTTTGTTGCCTCAACTGAACAATCAATGAGGAGTTTTTTGTATATATTTTGAAATGTATCATATTTTTAGATTCTTATCAGTATTTTTTTTTGCCACCCTAAAATATGATATTATCAAAGATATCAAAATTAGGAATCACACGTTAAAAGTTAAGACCTCGTTAATCCTTAGCTCTCACAAGTTTCGACTTCTGAGGGTTGTCGTTCGTAGGGGTGCGACAGCTGGTTAACGGAAAACATATTTTAAACAAACAGATATTGAAAAGTTCACATTAATGTATAATTCACCCTCTAGGAGTCCTGAGTTGTGGGAAATAGATTTGCATGTCCATTTCATGGGTGGTTTCGAGATCACTGCGTAGTATGAGCAGTACAGTTGAGTTGTCTACTCGGTCACTAGACTCAAGTCTTTGAGTTTTTTTAGAATCGATTTGCATCGCATTCTTTCCTACTTGACTTGCGAGGTTAATTTACTTGCATAATACGGTGATATTCATTCAACTTTTTATTTTTCGAAAACGCTTCGTTGGTATTTCAAAGCAACGTATCTTCTGAACGAGTGAATCGATTCTCAAAAGCGAGCAACGAAGGACAGGAACTCGAAAAATCTCTTCGAAGAGATATACTGGACCTCCATTCTAATTTGAAGCTTTAGCAATGTTTTTTTTGGTCACAAATTGTCCCCTCCATAAAAAAACTTAACCAGCACTTAAATTTTTGCGAAAAGTTCTTTTATTAGCAGTTATGCATTGCAATACTCGGACGTTTCTATCAAATACAAACAGGAAAGTGAAAGCTAATCTGATAGAAACGTATGTGTGTTATCTACACATTTTCCTGAAAAATGTTTATTGATATTTTTTGTTTGGAAGTGACACCAAACCATAATTTCTTTCCTTTCAAGAAAATTTCAAATGGCCGCGGTGATAGTGCGCCCGACTCACGATCGGATTATCGTGGGTTCGATTCCCGCCTCGACCAGATATTTTTCTCGAGAGAATTTATCTGGTTGAAGCTGGAATGATTCTGCAACCGTGTTAGGTTGCAGAATCATTCCAGCGAGGTAAGGTAAGATCTCGTTAGTCCTTAGCTCGCACAAGTTCTCGACTTCTGAGGGTTGTCGTTCGTATGGGGGCGACAGCTGATTAACGGAAAAACAGATTTTTAAAACGTACAATTGTTCACGTCGGAAAACATGCAAAACATGAAGCACTATACTTTTCTGCTCTGTGAAACTGGAAATGCCCATCATTTTCTTCGAAACTAGTTCTCGAAGTACCTCGTTTCAAAAAACATTTTGTAGACTAGAAAAGTCTAGTGTCGCTCTACATGCTTCGATGAACGGTGTTGGAATAAAGGAATATTGCTTGACCTAGGATTTTAGTAACTTTTAATATACTGAAAAATATGGTATGAAAACTATCAACACTAACAGAGGTGCTATTTCAATCAGTCAATCATTCACTTTTTTATGAACCACTCTCTCGAAAAATAGCGAGAACTTTTCCTGAATATTCTTAGCTAATTCATACTAGGGAAACTAGATTTATGAGTAAAAATGAAAGTAAAGTTCATTCTGTTGGAGATCAATTAGGTTCAGTTACAGTTTAGAAATTTGAATAGTTCAACTCTTGATTTAGCCAATCTAGTTTGTTTAATGGGGAAAATTTGTCAGTTCTGGTGTATGGTCGTTTAATATACTCACTCTTTGAATTTGTTATTACAGAAACACAACCGCCGAGTACTCTAAAGAAAATGATAGTCACTTGAAGGAGTGGTTACTTTGGAAATGTATATAAGTTCCGGAAATAAATATTATATCAGGACATCAGTTGTTAGAAAAATACATAGGAAATTCAATAAAAATAGGGCTTACTGCGCAACACAATGAGCTGCAGACAGAATGTGAGTCTTATCTATCAAAGAGCCTCCACAAAATTGTCTTCCTCCATTGAACAAGGCTGCAATCCAAGGCCATTCATTCACATCGGCGTTATGGCCTCCGACGATCCTTTCCTGGTCCGGATATCCATTTTTGGCTCCACAGGAAGCAGTTGAAGGTATATTGACAGGGGCTGATGTCGTTGTTCCAACAGTTGGAGGTTTGATGGTCGGTTTCTCTGTAGGTTTCACAGTAGGTTTTCCTGGTTTATTCACTGGTTTGAAAGTGGGTGGCCAAGCAGTGGGAGGTATGGTTGGATATCCAGGAGAAGGCGGATGCGTAGGAAGTGGAGGAATGGTATTATCTGGCGAATGGGTTGGAAGAGGTGGTGGCCAATTGGAAAGAGGGTAATAAGGGTTTTTTGCAGTGGAATTAAGATCAGCTTCTACTGTGTAATCTGGACCCTCGGATTCAATATTCGGCTCTTTAGTAGTTGAAGATGAATCAGTTGCTTCCGTAGGTTTCGATGGGTTTGGATTTGTACAACACACTCCGAACATCTGAAAGATCAAGTTTTTACTAAATCTTGAGTCCATCTTTTGTTTATTGACTTGTTATTCATAAATTACGAGTGTAAAAGCAGACATTTAAAGTAATTCTTTCTTCTCTATTGACTTGTTATTCACAAATTACGAGTGTAATAGCAGACATTTAAAGTAATTCTTTCTTCTCACTCTTTGAAATTTTTGATTTTCATATATTTTTCATTTAGCATGAGGTTGATGAGCTTTATGGTTTTCTTAAGTCATAGTATTAACTCTTAATAGGATAATAAATGCTAATCATTTTTCTTTGTCAATTGTTGAATGTTTTAGATCACTGTGAAGTTGAAAATTTGTTATTTGCATATTCTTATATGTATTACTTCCCCTTTTACAGTGATACATCCTGGTCATCTCTCAAACAAAATTCTAACAAAACTTTCGATTATATTTCTTCGTTCTTTTCATTGAAACTAATATTCAACCAACGTATTTCCTTCATTTTATGCGACACTCTCTGTCTTCGCCTTATACCAAATATCAACCTTACACAAGAATTTTGTAATTTCTGAATGCGCCCGGAATCTCTATTATCTAAGCGCGGCCCATATATGCTATCACAGAAGTTCATGTGTGAGAGAACAATTGAATCACATAGTTCTTTCTTTGTGCTTTGATTTAGAAATTTTCTCTGGGGGTAGATCATTTTCAAATTAGCATAGCCAATTCTCAACTTTGACGTGACATGCTCCGTGAATTTGAGTTTATTGTCAATTATCAAACCCAGATTTCTAGCGGATGTTCTGAAAGAAATAATCTCATTATCTATACTAATGTTCAAAGATGCCTGCAATTCTTCTCTGATTCTATCATTACAAAAAAGTAGAGCCATGGATTTTTTTGGATTGATTTTCAATAAATGTTCATTTGATATTTCAAAAAGTTTTTGCAGATCATAGTTGAGAGAATATTCTGCTGCTGCAGTATCTGATGGGTTGAAGGAAAAGTATAGCTGCGTGTCGTCTGCATATAGATGATACTTGCAAAAAGTTAATGACTTTACGAACTGTGCAGTATAAATCGCATAAAATAATGGACCCAAAATACTTCCTTGAGGTACACCAGTTGTGACAGCAATCGCCGTCGATGTCTCATTTTTATACACTACTCGCTGCAATCTGTTCGTTAGGAATGATTTTATCAAATCGCAAGCTCGCACAGAAAAGCCGATATGATTTAGAATTGCAAATAGAATTCTATGATTCAACATATCGAACGCTTTTCTGTAGCCCAGGAGTATCAGGATCGTTGCCTTACTTTCGTCCATTCCCCTCAGAACATCATCTGACACATCAGTCAATGCAGAGCTACAGCTGTAAACTGTAACAGCTGTAAATGTATTATTCATACGGATGAACTGGATAACAGGACAGTTATTGTTCTCGTTTTTGCAACGAAGTATAAGTTGTATTTCAGTGTTGCAAGAAATAATTTGTATACAAGTGATATATGATTATTGTATAACATTAGTGCAATCAAATATTTTTCTGGCACGAACAATATGCTAGATAAAAACCTTACTCAACGAAATAAATACTTCTCTAGGTTTCGAGTACAACAACAATTTACTCATATCTACTGGTCGGACCAGAAAGTCCGACTTGTTTGTTGATCCAGATTTGTATAGAATAGATGAGTTTCTATCTACATAATATGACGGTAAGACAGTGAGTTTGCAGCCAAGGGTCTGCTTAATGAAATCAATTACCGCTACATCAACTCGATTTTGCAAGCCCTGATCGCGTGTGCACCACCTTGCAACTTACTGAACAGCCTGAGCAAGAACATCTCGTCAAATGTGAGAAGGAAATCTACTTCGGTCATAATTGAAATGGGTCGTTTTGTGTGAAGCAGTTTGATTACTTACCTTCCTACATTAGGACGAAAGACAGGAGAGTGGATAATAATGCCAAAAATGACCAAGCAGTTATCATCAACACTGGAATCCCTTTCGGTCCGACGTGGAAAGTCATCTTGGTTTTGATCAGGTTAGAGCCTAGCTCCCGTACCCTTTTAACTGATACTGTCCGACGTGGATAAAATGTCGCATAACATGCAGACCGAGGGTAGACAAAAAGATGCAGAATGGCCTTATGATGGAATGTTTGAACTAATGGAGTTGGTAGAATGTTATACTGGCGATGAAAAATCTCTCATTGACTCTGCTTTGAGCAGTGATTCAAGTAATGAATGTAACGTAATTAGATCAAAAAATTAAGGAAATCCAACCTAAAGATTCGATTTCACCAGTACACCGATAAGTGACATCTTTGGGGGCAACTAAATCGAGCATTCATCGTAACCGGAAACCACATTACCTGGTAATATCCAGTCTTTCCTCGCCCTGCCACTCAACATTGATAAAGTAAGGACTACCAGGAAAGTGGTCAAGGTACTTGTCTCCAAGAACAATTCATCGAAGACTAAACAGCAGGTAAAAGCGTGGGAGAAAATGATGCTCTGCAAACTTTCCGATATCCTCATATAGCATCTGAAGTTTTTCGAATATAGCCACAACGGTTGCACGAAGATTATCAAGGCTTTGGGGTTTAGATTCGACTTGAAAATAGATTCGATATTGTTATCGTCGATCTCCAAAAGAAAAACAGTAAGTACAAGCTATTCACCGTCGTTTATTACGACGGCATAGTTGCCAATATTGGACAATACCTGACCGATGCCTTCCACGTCGGCAACAACTGCTGGCTAAGGTACGACGATTCTTCGGTCAAGACCGTGCAGGAAGAATACATTATGCTGAAGCCCCAGGGAAAGCGAGTTCCTTATTTCCTCTTCTACAGGCGAAGCCATACGATCCGATCTAAATAAAGCCCTTCTAGAGGGATCAGGTAGGGATTACGTAGGGTTCAGCATCTGAGATCGTGTGGAGTTTCTTTTTGGAGTTTTCGTCGAATTTATTTTTTGTGATTTCAGTAGATTTTTTATTCCTTTTGTTGTAATGTAACTTATATTTAATGTACTATATGAAATTTTCATTTATGATAAATTATCCAAGTACACTTGTCATGCACTGGAACCTTTGGTGTAGTAATGAATATTACTGTAGTTCTATCTCAACACAAAACCGTTATTTTCAACACCTCGACACGTGTTTCGATCACCAAATGATCAACTTCAAGAGAAAAATTAAACTGTTTAATATGCCTCTTGAAGATGATCACTTGGTGATCAGTAATATTTATCCAAGTAAAGTTCGTGTTTTGGTTCTTTAAGTCAAAGCTCAATGAAACAAACTCATTTACCTTTTTCTGGAGAATAATTATGCTCCGAGAAAAGTTATGATTTCATTCAATCACATAAGGTAGTCAAAAAACAGGTATGGAAAATTGGGTTCAAGAAGATTGATCTCTACTGAAAAATTAAACATGTCAAACGTTGGTACAAAATGGTACCAAATTTTTGTTTTCCTGTAAATAGCTGCTCTGCGAGTTAAAGCAATCTATTCTCATTCAACAGAAATATGAATTCTATAACAGTTATCGATCTAACTAACCTGACGTCCTTGAGCAGTGTAGTAGCTACAAGTGTCATACATCCCCAAGATCCAACTATCGAAATTTCCCAGTTCGGGAATTTTGAAATAAGGATAGCACTGTCTGAAAGAAACGCATTTTCCTAGAACCCCCTTAGTCGTGAAGCAGGTACCTGTAGTGGCGAGATGCATGTTGTTGGTGTTCAGAGCACTCCATCCTTGTGGAACAACAAAGGGATTGTATACTGGTATAGCTGGTCCTTCTCTGAAAAAGATCTGCCGACTACTTCTCTCCGTTGATGGCTCCACTTCAACAAACAAAAAAGTATTAATGGTATCATAAAGCTGTGGGTTTATATCTTGGCGTGTCACGCGGATTTATAACACTTGATTGCAATAATTTTACGATCGAAGAAATTTTAGTTAGAATTTGAAGAATGTACAAAGTGAGATGTTGAAACATCGGGTGCGGATATTTCACAATTCTATTTAGCGTTCTTGAAATTTTGAAATGAAAAGTGCGGAAGCTCAGAAGGACCACATATTTTCATTATTTGTTTCTTGGAAATTACGACTTTAAAATTCGAAACTTTCGATTTAAAGTGGAAATTTCCACTTTAAACTCGAAATTTCGACTTTACACTAGTAAATTAATTTCGAGTTTTAAGTCGTAATTTCAAGTAGGGACGATGACATTTCCTTTTACAAGACGTCATCTATGAGATCATATGAGATCAACAGAGAAGTCAATCCCCGAATATCAAAGATTAACGAGGATCCCCAGGGCGGTAAATTGCAAGGCCAAGCTTCAACATCGACCACCGATGAGATTCGTCTTCTGTCTTTCACTGAAAGGCAACTAACTAGTTTTAAACTAGAGTCCAAACACAAGGTATTTACGATTCAACAACAGACAGCACTGTTTCGACCCGTCATAAGTCTCATCAGTATTGCTAGTCTGAACCACAAATGCATGGGATCTATCCCATAGGTGACATCGACATGAGGGGATATGTCGCCCTTACTTACCTACTTCGGCTTGTCCCTTAAAGACAGTTGTGTCCAGCCATGCATTTGTGGTTAGCCTAGCACCACTGGCGCCTAGAACCTATGGCGGTTCGAAACAGCGGTGTCTGATATTGAATCATGAATGCGTTATATTTGGACAAATATAGTTAGTTTGCAGTGAAAGACAGAAGACAAATCTTGTCGGCGGTAGATGTCGCAACTGACCGCTTTGGGAAGCCTCGTTTACCTTGATATTCGAGAAATGAGTTCTCTATAAATCCATCGACGGATGTATCTCGAATACTTTTACCATCAACGCTGGTGGGGGATCCATATTGTCTCCAACACCCTTTTTATTATATATCAATAACTTATTGGAAAAAACCAAGAATCCAATATATTTCTTTGCTGGCGACAGCACACTTGTATCGTCATTCCATTTGGATTCCAAGACGTCGGTTGTGGATGCACATCTTAACCGGCAGCAGGAGGTTGCATATCTTAATGAGAATCTAGAGGTGATTTAGAATTATGGTGAATTGTGGTTCAATTTGATGCCATGTAAACCCAGGCAAAGGTTTTCTTCAAAAAGGTAAATGCCTCCGAACCGTATAAAATAATGTCAGGACAGACAATTCCGCTTTCTGCTTCGATAAGTCTGTTGGGGGTTGAAATGGACACCGATATGTCTTGGCACAACCATGTCGCTGAAATTGCAAAGTCTGCTTCTCGAAAGCTTGGAACACTGTTCCGAAACAGAAAACTGTAGAAACCTCAGCAACTTTTGATGCTTTATAATGCTCAGTTCAGACCTTCTTTGGAGTACTGTTCTCATGTATGTATTTATGCCTCTAAGCAAACCCTGAAGGTTCTGTATTCCATTCGAGAAAGAGCCATACGCCTGATTGGAGACACGAACATCACTTGCAACTTCGATAGTCTGGAACCTCGAAGAAAGGTTGGAGATTTGATTCCACCAAGAGCAGTACATATCAGAAATACACGACGGACTGTGGCTGCTCATCGTTTTGAGGTTCAACTCTGTACACCTCGAACGTCACTGTTCAAGAACTCTTTCATTTAGAGAACTGCGTTGATGTGGGACAAATAAATTTAATGCCGGCAATTCAAATCCAATGGGAATCGCTACTTTAGCACAGGCACCGCTCTAAGAGCGCCTTAAGGATTCTCCTGTAGTGGTTGTGTTATCTCCTTAAAAAATTTGGCGTCTTGGTAAGAGGATAATAGACACGGCTAAAGATGAAATTGCTAACTGAAACATTTGTTGCGGTTATGTAAACTGTGTATTAGATATTCCTAAAAAATATTATGTGTTATGAATACACTGACCCATCACCTGATGAAAATTAATAAGACTATCCACTAACAATAATAACTACACTTCAGCAGGAGGACGAAACGCGTCTGGAAATGTTTGTGAAAATTTTTTATAATAAATTTTATTCGAGACGCGTTTCGTTATAAGGTAGATTCATCAGTCCAACTGATGCAGATGATAACTATAGAAGGATGTGTCCAACAAAACTGTTCTGAAATACGCCCGACATTAAATTGAATGAAAATGTCACATAAAAACAAAAATTGATTGACAATGTTTTCAAAAGAGGAACTGAACGACATAATATTTTCAATATATTATTAAAAAAAATAATGAACACGTGCATATCAAGAGTAAAGAACTGGTTTTATTGAAAAGTATTTATAGAGCGAGTCCACCAGCAGAATCACCACTCAATGAAAAACTTAAATTACTCTATAAATTTTAAATAACCCGTTCCGTTGTCTTGATGAAAGTATTATCAATTTCATGGAACAAAGAAAGTGATATATGGAAAATAATAGAGCAAACAACAACATAATTAATATACAAATCAAAACACCTTTACTACCTAAACACCAAATAAAATCTTGGAAAATTACAAAACAAAATAACGAATGAAAATCAAGTGAAAATGATAAAAAGCATATAAAGAATTTGATAATGAAATAAACTGCACAATTTTTTGATGAATTCAACTCAGTTTGTAATTCCATTTGTTTCAGTTACCTATTTTCGAATGTGAAAGTTGTTGGGATTCGACTGAGTTTATACCAAAATATGTATTGAATCTTAAATGGCGAATACTAGATAGTTATCTACCTATTTGAAGGGCAAACTTTTCGGAATAAATATTTGAAAATTCGGGTTGTCACTCCTGCCTTCAAGAAAGATTCCTGTCTCATCTACTAGGTAATATGTCTATTCATTGAAATATTAATTCATAATAGGTTTATATTACTAGTGGTGATAGAACAATTGATGTTTGAAGGTGTTTGACAATGTTTAATTGTAATTTCAGGTTTTTGTTCAATAAAATTGTTATTTTTCGGTTAATCTTTTTAATTTTTTACAGATTTTTTCAGGGATTTCAAATCAATTTATTAGATAATGGAAGTCCGAACTGATGAAAAGAACTATTGATATTGAAAGACCTACTACAGGACCTATGGTCATGGTTACGATGGTCTGCTTTGACATAAAGATGATCACTTGGTGATCGAAACACGTGTCGAGGTGTTAAAATAACGGTTCGGTGTTGGAAATAATCTCCAGTAATATTTATGACGAATGTATCAAAGAAAAGTTGCGGCTTTTAAACTCCTTCAATTTATTCTTATTAATTCATGAAACTAACATATCTTCACACTCTTTTAATCAAACGGTTTTATTCAGCTTGCTCTGTTTGTTTGTTTGTTTATTTATTTGGATCAAATTTAGTAATTGAAGTTCAGCCCCCTTCCTGTTGACAGACTGAGGTACACACAATCAGTTTTGATGATAATACAATTCAATAAATTGTAAATTCAAAATGGCCGCAGCTACAAAATGGCGGATTACATATTTTTTCACAACTACCTTAATATGGGTATCAAATGACAGCGCTTGACTACTAGAATAGTAGTACACTTTGAAAAGGATGCAAGTCCAATATAGAACTTTGTCAACCCTGAATCGGTATACAAGCATGGATTTCCCACCCAAATCAAGATTTTTTTCAATGATCAATACCGTAGATTGCTGAGGAGAGTAGTGTAATGACTGCTACCTACGACCTTCCGAATTATGTTTTAGTTTTTAGTACATCATCATGTAGATATTAATCTCCTCTAGAATAAATTAATTTTGTGAATCACAGTGCTTTGTAGTTGAAAATTTGAACTATTTTCATACATGGTCAATTTCTAAGTATAAAATAAATTTGATTACTCAATAAACATATGTACATAAGTTTACCATTGAAAATAAAGAACCTTTTGATGGGAACAAAAATAAAAGTAATTGGGAATAGTTATTGGAGTGCTGTAAACCAGCGTTTTATTAGATGTCTACACAAGAAAAAATCAAGACTCCTTAAATCTGGGGTTCTAGGTGGCTACGATTGTGATGCTGCCCCCTATATATACAAAGATTATTGTACTGTTGAAGAGGAAAGTGCACCATTGTGCATAAACCGCATACGATGTCAGCATTTGTGAAATCTATCATGATAGTTATGCATTCGGAACGTATCACGTTTTTTAAATTAAAATCGACTCAAAAGCCGTGTACCTTGATAAATTCCTGTCAAAACTGTTTGAAATCAATTATTTTGTCATCGTCATTGATTTCTCAATAACAAAGTTCGTAGCTTCCTTTTTCAGAAGTCATAAGCATTGAAACCTATTTATTTCATATGAAATCGTTACGTAAAGAGTTCATTTTTATCAAAACAATTAATCGCGATTTTGAAAATCATATTATTCAAAAAACAGGTATTTACTAATAAACTCAGCAGGCATCAAAATAGTTTTTTTTTTCGAGAAAATCACATGTCGAAGAAAAATCAAGTCAGTAAAAGGAGAAAAAGCAGTGGCGTACATATAATTCTAGTCTACATTCGATGATCGAAGGAATAGAGTCAGTGTCTGTCAAGTATAAAAGGCAGTCTGACAGATTAACATAGTATACAATTTCCCTTAGCATTTCAGCAATTGTGGTAATTTTCACAACTTGTCCTTTATTATATTTTGAGAAGAATCTTGTCTTGTTGAAAATACTACTACTGAGGAGATCTATTAGCCATATATTTTAGTTTGATCTTCCTCTTTGAAGATGATCACTTGGTGATCGAAACACGTGTCGAGGTGTTGAAAATAACAATTTGGTGTTGGGAAAAAACTACAGTAATATTCATGACTACACCGAAGGTTCCAAATAGTGCATCATAAGTATATATTTTATATTCACTTTCACTTATTCGTGACTCCTACAAGCACCTTCAATTTCAATAATTAAAACATTCAAAATTCTATACAGAAATCTCCATGAAACTATAAAATCTACAGTAATGAAGATGAGCAATTAACGTTGTTTAGGTAGTGTACTTCCTTAGAGAGTTATGTGTACGAAAACTTGCACATTTCGCTTTGTAAAAATTTTTATTTCTTCTTGGGTTCGTATCCAAACCCTTGCGTTTCAATGCAAACAACTTTTTCAACCGTCACAAAATGTGGTTTTTAGCATCGAGTCACTCAACCGAACAGATAACGATTTTAATGACTTACCTCTCTCAGAAAAATAAAAAACCTACGTTACATTTTCCAAATACTTGCTAATATTTGCAATAAATCATGTCATGAGATTATTTTGTATTTCCTATCTTTTTCGTTTCTTCTCCTACAATTTCAAAGTTACAGCCTTTGAAGATTTCTCATTTAAGGAGGGATTTTATCCATAATTTTCTTTCAAGAATAATTTATGATTAGAATTAATTCATAGCACAAAAGTTATAAAAAATATGAAAATGAATGGGTGGATTTGAAAAATATCGATTTATTTTTCAACTTGAGAATTGTGGAGACTTTGTCTACTGTTGCTACATCAGTGAAGTTATGATTTTTTTGGAATTAGCTATATTCTTGCAACTTAAATGATATTTATTATGAAAATGTCGCGCAAAAAATCGCATTTGTAATTCTACCAGAATCAACAATATATTTTGAGGAAATAATTTTGATAAAACTTCAACTAATAGACAGATATTAAAATTAATTTGTCTTGTATAAGTTTCCCACTTCAAGTGTGGTCAGCTAAAAACAATAATTTATTAAACTGAAACTGCATCTTCAAATGAGTTATGTCAACAAAATACTGAATGTCATAATTTTACACCTGATTACTTTCAAAAAGTCTGAACACGCTTCATTACTCTATGGAAGTAGGATACTATTTTGAACACTTCAAGTGCGAGTTAACAGTTAATAAAAAATACTTCTGAGTATCTAATAATTATTTTATTACCTCCTTTATATAGTCAGAACCTCAATTTGAATTTAGTAAGAATAAACTCTTTATACCTACACAAATGGAGTTACAAGAATTTCGGTTGAAAGTTGATAGAAAATAATTTTTTTCGTGTTGACATTTTATTGATTTATAAGGTTCTTTCTAGATATATACCTACTGCATCAAATTTGAAAAAGTAGGCAGCTTTGATAAACAAAATTTCCAAATACAAGTTTCTGACAAATGTCATAATTTTTCTATAGAAAGTTTGATGAATTTACCCAGTAACTTATCGAGATTAACTAGAATTGCCTTTTATGTGCACCGTATAAAAGTCTTCGTCTCAAATTTTCAGAACATTTTTTTATTAACCTTATAGAAATTCTTCAACTTAATTTTTCAAACTCATAAATTTTTTGTATCTGAAATACCTAACTTGGATGTTTGGACGGAAGGTGTCAAAAGATATTTGTTGCATAAGCAGTCAACATATATTTTTTGATCATTATCTTCCAATACAGTATTTAGGTGTGATCAACTTAGTCATGTCCCGTGAAATAAAAATCAAAAACGATTTTTCTGACTCAAACCGTTTGTACTTTTATGTTCTTTGATTAAGATTATATAAAAACATGCAATTGGGCAAAATATGACTCAATCCTTTTTACCCAAACAACAAACTTATGATTCACTGCACTCTGCCAGTTTCAAACAGACTTCAAGAACAAAACACAAGCACTACGGGAAAATTCTTAAGGCGCTTAGAGGTGCCTGTGCGAAAGTAGCGATTCACGTTAGATTTGAATCGCTGGAATTAATTCATTTGGAAAAACGTTATCAGGAAGTTTATTACACATAAACGCAGTTTTATAAATGAAAGAGTTCTTAAATAGTGAAGGTCAAGGTGTACTGAGTTGAACCTCAAGAAATACGCACAGTCCGTCGCGTATTTCTGATATGTACCGCTCTTGGTGTAGTAAAATGAAGTTCACATCAGAAGTGGTACAGTGCTCTACATAAATGAAAGTTGTGGAGCTGAAAAATTGTGAAGAGGCTAAAGTTCACAATTTCGAAAGGAAATTTGGAAAAAAATGAAGTGTGCGGATTTTTATTTCATCATTCGGTAAATTCTCATCATCTCAGAAGGTTGAAGAAAAAAAATTTAAATCAACACAAAGAAAATAACAAACCAAAAGGGGTAAAGGGGTAAATTTTATTCAGATAAGAAGGGGCTATATAAGNATGATATGAACCAGCAGTAATGTTCAATTTTAGATCAAGTCCTAACTCCGCTCATAATATTTTACGATTGTTCCAGTCTCCACCTGGTTCTTTTTCATTATAATGTTGTTTTTACCGTTGAAATAAATAGGCCTTTTGAAAATGACATTAATGGTTTGGTGTTAAATTACTGAATATTACCTCAAGACACAATTTTTTTCAGGTCTAATTTAATGAAACAAACACCGATACGTTTTGATAACTTTTATTTTGTCTTGGAATATTTGAAATTTCTAAACAAAATTAAGTTATCATAAGTATCTTCGATATCGAAATCAATATCGCAAAATACCATCAAGTGATCAGTTATATACATCCAACTATCGTTTAATGCGTTTCAGTTTCAACCGCGAAACATTATCAATTGGTATTCTATCAACGTGGGAAGAGAGAATAAAAAATATTTGATGTAATCAACACTTGTGAGATTATTGAACTCCTCTTCGAATTAAAACTAATATTCCATCTTCAGTGAAATACATCCTGAATGTTTCAAAAAGGTCATCATGCAACTTTGAAAATGCATGTGTTCCAAGTACTTGTGCTCCGTGTTCAAGAAAAGGTGAACGATCTTGACGACCTTGACAATGATCATCGATACCGATTGATTTTACGAGTACCATTGGGTTTAATAATATAGCGTTTTTTCTGTAATTAAACCAGCTGCAGAATGAAATCAATCCTAGAAATAATTAGTCACAAGTTAGTTGATGTTAGTATTATGATGGGTATTATGAAGTATATGTCCACATATACATATTTTTTGTTTTCCGTTATCAATTTCAATATAATTCAAATCAGGATTATACCGATTATATTAACCCATCAGCTCGTTACCGTTATTATGGGTATTCGAAACCGCAAAACAGGTCATCATTGATGTATCCAAATTGGTAATTTATATTAGCTGACGAAAAAATGGAAGTGCAAAAGAGGTAATGATGAAATAATGATGAATGAATTAGATGATAAACAGTTAAAACATAAGCAATAAAACTGTCATCTATAATAACTTTATAATTTTTAATTATCTGCACGTGAATGAAAAAGTGAAAAATTATTTATAGTAATAATATACCTGATTCAATGACCACAGATTCGTCATCTTCATTAATTATTTCGGCAAATACATAAGAGTTGGTCACAAAAAAACACAAACAAATACTAACAGTTAACCTCATGGTTAACGAAAAAAATGTTTAAAATTCACACACCACTCTAGCTTGTTTGGGAACGCAATGTCTCTAATTTGTTAAGTTGCTCTTATAAAAGTTGAACCTGTACATGCCTCCCCTCCCTGGCTGAGTAGCAATTTACTGGAAGTCAACAAAGTTTTTTTGTTTTTGACAAGGAATTGAGATGGGTTGTAGATTGGAAATTTGCTCAATATATGATTATTTCATCAGGCGTTTATCAAACCAATCTTCCGAGGAATCAACTACCTACCTGTCATTAAATTAAACTGGCTCACTGCTTTGTTGAGAAGAGAGTTAGTTGTTCGCTTGAATAAATTTGGTACATATCTATGAAAGATATGGAATGGCAAAAAGCGTTTAATTTTTTTTACTCCAATTTATATTCATAAACGTATTATTTTGAGGTTATTGGATTATGACTCATATGGCTGTTTTATACAAAACAAAATCGGGGATTCGTAATTTTTTATATCTTATAAAATTCCACGAATCTTGAAAAGTTTTCTTTGCAATTATTCAATAGGCAAAGGTAACGAGGTTGGGACGAGAAATATTTAGGAGTAAAACAAGAATTTATTAATAATACTACTCTGTTCAAAAAATAAAGTGAATTCTTATTTTTATCAACAAATATCTTATTCATCAATTTCTATTTACTCCCCTTCAAAGTACTTCCCCTCGGATATAATACACCTTGTGTTTCAGCGTTTTTTCCAATCTTCAAAGCAGTTTTGATATACACTTTTCTGTATGTCCTTGGGCTCTCTGAGCGATTCGGATTTTATCTCCTCAATCGTCGCAAAACGCCGTCCTTTCAATGGTCTCTTCAATCTTGGGAACATAAAAAAGTCGCTGGGGGGCAAATCTGGTGCACACGGTGGCATGATTACGGTGTTCTTTTTGGCCAAAAAGTTACGATTAGTCAATGACAAGTGCATGAGCAGGTGCATTATCAATTTGCTAAAGCCATGAATTGTTTTTCCATAATAATAGATGTTTTCTTTGTATTACTTCTCGCATAATTTCGCATAATTTCAAAATGATACTTATTGATCGTACGACCATGTGGCAAAAACTCCTGATGTATCACGCCACGGTAATCGAAGGAAACAGTGAGCAAAACTTCGACATTTGATCGAACTTGGCGTTTTTTTTGGTCTTGACTATCCTGGGCTCTTCCATTGGAACGATTGGACTTTGGTTTCGATGTCATAACCATATACCTATGATTCGTCACCATTTGTGACCCTTTCAAGCAAATCTGGATCGTCGTTGACGTCATTCAACAATTCCTGAGCGATGCCCATTTAACTGTTTTTCTAGTCAAAATTCTGTAATTTTGAAACGAATTTTGCTGCCACACGTAAAATTTCTTTAAAAAAATATATAGCATGAGCCAATCGATATGCTGACATCCTCAGCAACTTCTCTAATAGTGATTCGACGATTCTCCATAACAACTGTCTTCACTTTCTCAACATTTTCATCGGTTGTTGATGTATAAAACAATGAACTAAACACATAAAGTGACGAAAAGAAATGAAACGTGTAGGATTTTTTTTCGTTTGGCAATGTCATACTGTCACATAAATGTCATATTTCAATGAAGCATGATGATTTGTTAGGATACTCGTTAATTCAAAAAAGAGAGTTATTGATTCACAGAATTTTCATGATTATTATGTTTTTGGTGTAGTTTCAGTAAATTACTATTGTATATGTTGCTGTGTTGCAGAGATTCTCAATAACAGTTTTTTTCATTGAAAGAATCAGAAGACATATTGATTTCGACCATTTCAAAAAAAGATGTTTGGAAATATTTTTTTCTGTTCGTAAAACTTTGATATTACTGTAATTTGTTTCACGTCCTGTTTCTGAGAGACCCCGTTAATCCATTCTCCTGTTCATTTCTCCAGTCGCTAAGATAATCCACTAACGAGGTCTTACATTTTAACGTGTGATTCCTAACACAATGATGTGGACCAATTCTATGGACCTGATTGACAAAAAAAAATATTCATACCATGAGTTATATTATGATATGAACCAGCAGTAATGTTCAATTTTAGATCAAGTCCTAACTCCGCTCATAATATTTTACGATTGTTCCAGTCTCCACCTGGTTCTTTTTCATTATAATGTTGTTTTTACCGTTGAAATAAATAGGCCTTTTGAAAATGACATTAATGGTTTGGTGTTAAATTACTGAATATTACCTCAAGACACAATTTTTTTCAGGTCTAATTTAATGAAACAAACACCGATACGTTTTGATAACTTTTATTTTGTCTGCGAATATTTGAAGATTATCTTGAATTGGTAGAGTGTTTTTTTATTTATATGCATATTTCATCTACAGTATGGTTATCACGATTCTACACTCACAGTTTGACCTTGTATATGGATAGTCTGTATACAAAGGTTTGACTAAAACGTTTATGTCAGATGAATTGTAGAGAAATAAATGTTTGATCGCATATCTGATGTAATTTGTCATTTAAATATCTGTTATATTTCACTTTCGAAAAATAACTTTTTACCTTTTTAAAAACTTCTGATTATTTGAAAAGGGACAACGTACATTATCTGCTGAGTAACAAAAAATTACTGCAATATGTGTGACAAGTTTTACTTGAAACTTACTCCTTGTAACTGATTTGATGTCCCTTTCAACTTCTGAACAGAGCAAGATATGAAAGTTGGACAAAATTTTTATGAGAAGGGATCATTTTTAGTACTTTTTGATGAAATAGCCAATGGTGTGACAATACTCGCCGCAGAGAGAGCACTATCAACTTTTGTAATCCTTCGCTCGAGATATATTTCAATTCTCTATACATACAATGATCTTTATTGTTTTAAATTTGGATTAACGGTTGCGGAGTTGTTGGTGTATGAAATAGAATTATAGAAATATTTAATTCATGACATGTATACATTCGTCCAGAAATAAAATAGAATAAAATCTCTCTCTCTCTGTCTCTCTCTCTCTCTTTCTCTCTCTCTTTCTCTCTCTCTCTCTCTCTCAATTCTCTTCTGATATTTGCAATCTTACTTTCATCACTTTCATCACACACAAAGTGATAACATCACTTTGTACATTCACAGAATTTTGTAATTGAGATAATTTTTTTATTTTATTCCTTTATGAATTGGTTTTGTCTGTTCATGAATGAACAACGAACTGAATAAGTGAAAAATTAAATTCAAAAATTATGAAATGTTTCTTTGTGTGAAATACAAATATTTCTTCTTGGTGTAGTTAAATATCCTTGAGTTAAACAGCGTAGATTAATTCGGAAGAGTGTTCTCGAATGGTTTATCGCCTTTAAAAAATCCCCGCAAATAACTGTTCCTTCATTCCTGTCATGGGCGAAACAAGAAAATCATTATTATAATGACAAGATTATTGAACTTCCACGTTGACTTTTGCTCACTGCAAAACTTGATCTAGATCAGTAAATTAAATTAATGTAAAGCAGAGTCGTACATCAAGTTAGTTTTCTTCTAAAGACAATTCTCTCAACGAATTATCGAAATAAAGAAAATACAGTAAAATATATTTATTCGAAATCAATTGTGAAAATAACATTGAAAAACAAAAATATCAGCATATATAACGTCATAAGCAGAAATGGCAAATCGCACGTTGTAAAGTTAGTCCTCGTTAATCCTCGGTCCATATAAGTCTCGATTTTTGAGATTTGCTGTTCGTTAGCTGAGCTAGAGTAAGAAAAGGGCTGGATGGAAGTGCGATAATTTTCTTATAAAGATAAAGAAAGTTTGAAAAATATCCAATGTGGGAAGAAGACCAGGTGGGTATTACAAAACAAAATTCATTTGCCAGTTGACACAAAAATATAGAAAATATATGAAGATAAGACAGAAAGGGAAAAGGAAGCACAGGAAAAATGCAGATGGAACTTAATCATATGAAGAAAACGCACTAGTAGACGAACAGTCTGGCAGGCCGTTTCAAAAAAAACAGAAGAGGAAACATTACTCACACAAAAGAGATACAAGTTATGAGAAATGAAAAGATCGAACGAAAAATGCTGGCAAGTGAAAATCAGATTTTTTTTCTAGAAAACTGACACGTCATGCAGAAAAAATTGCAATAAATGTGAAAATGCGAATGACGTGTGAATTAGTTGTGGATGAATTACATACTTTAAATAGCTTGGTAACAATGCCATTTTATTTGTCCAGCATGAATAAATGATATTTTTAATCAACTTGGGAGAGTATTGCAAGGGTCATTTGTAGTTTGAAACATGAGAGATGGGCATTTCATACTTCGCAGAGTTCAAATTAGATACCGAACGATATCTAATTTGGTGTATCAGCCTTTAGGACCAAAATCAAAAAAACAATAAAGTCCTCACCGTTTCTTCCAGACACCGATAATTATTTTTCTTTTTTAAGAACTCTTGGCCATCATTATTCATCATTGACGCCGGCACTGACTGATAATTTATATGATAATATATCCAATGATTCCAGCTTAAAATTTGAGTGGGTCCAAATTAACATATTTCGATAAAGTTGCATTAATAAACAAGGAGTACGAATTTTAATGATACATGATCGTGAATTTCGGTTAGGACAAAAATTTCAATCTCTTTCAGAAGGCACAATTTGCACGAGATTTTCGTAGACATCTTAATTGGTATTTCTTGTTTTCGTTTAATCAGATTGAACTGAACCGAATATTAATATCATTCGTGGAATTAAACAGAAATGCCTTCGTTTTCAAAAGATGGTGTCTTATCTCGTTGGGGAGTTGAGGTCCAGGCAATGTTTAAAAATAATATTTGATCATTTGCAAACGAAACATTTGATGAACGTGTTAAACCTAGAAGAGATCTTACTTAGAGTCAAATAGAAGATACTCAAAAAATAAGATAACACCTATCTCAGGGTGGGTTGCGGTGGAGGGTCGAATAGACCCACTCACTTTGGACCTAACCTAACCTAACCTATCTCAGGGTGCCCGCTAGATATCTAATCATGCCCTTATTATAATGTTGTTTTTACCGTTGAAATAAATAGATAATTGAAAAAATCATGTAGAGGCGTCTTGTGAAATTTACAAATAAATATAAACAGATCACTAATGAAGAATATGAATTTAGGGAGCGAAGATCGGCATAAAGATGCAATATATCAACCTACATCACAAATTTACGATTCCTTAGACAAAAAGATTCCAACATTGTGCATTTTTATCGATCTCTCTAAAGCCTTTGATACAGTAAGTCACCCTAAACTTTTAGAAAAGCTGGAAAACATTGGTATTCGCGTAACAACGTATGAACTCTTCAAAAGTTATTTGAATGATCGTGAACAGAGGGTCAGGATAGGTGATACAATGAGTAATCCAGAAACTGTGGGCTTTGGGATACCTCAAGGAACTGTGCTAGGCTCCGTTCTTTCCACAATTTACTTGAATGAACTGCTCCTTCATACAAAAGACAAGGTTTTGAGCTTTGCTGATGACACTGCCATCCTATACACAGGATCTACGTGGGAACAACTCAAGTTATGAGTAGAAGAAGATTTTCTAGCAATCGAAAGTTGGTTTCGACAGAACAAACTCAAAATTAACTTCGATAAAACAAATTACTTACTATTCACGTCATACTTCAATAGATTGCCCGATATTGGACAACTCAATATTAACAATAATTACTATATAACTGAAAGTGACTCAATTAGATATCTAGGGGTAACAATTGAAAGACACCTTCGTTGGGACTTACAAATGAAAGAAACAGTAAGAAAGATGAGAGGTACACTTTCTATATTCCAATATCTCAGAAACGTCCTATGAACCACTTGAAAATTCTATATTCTGCACTTGTTCAGTCTCAGTTGTCATACGGGATAATCGAATGGAGAGGAGTTATAGATGGTGGATTTTAAAAATTCAGAGACACACAGGTCCCTGATATAGGCAATTATTTTGTATGAGTATTCTAAATAATATTCAAAAACGAAATATTCAGATAATCCTAGCTGAACACTCCTACCACACAAGAAACAGAGATATCAGATAATACCCGATGTAATCAAAGACAATCTTAATAATAAAAGTTAAACAATGGATTTTGCTCACCGAATGATCATTTTTCCATAAACTGGGTAATCAACATAATTTTAAAAAAACTACATAAACAAAATTCCCCCTATAAACCGCCCCCCTCCCAGAAAAAAAAAACAAAAAACATACAAGACAAACAAACTGTAATATCATAGCGGCTATTTTCAGAATCTTTCATGTAACATAATTACTTTACTTGAGCTATTTTTTATCATTCTGTACTGATTTATCTCATTTCATACTAGTTAACACTATTTTCTAAACGTTGGTCACTTTATCACATACAGAATGTATTTTGCGTTTAACCGTAAATAACTATTGTCGCTGAACTACTGTAAATTTTTGCCCGATCGTAAACATTATTTTATTATTCAGACTTATTTTAATAATTTTTCAACATTAATTTTATATTACTTCTAATGATATATTTCAACTTACCTCATATGTACTAATTTTTTATTATTTACTGATATGGCTATCTCACGTACAAGGAACAACCATTCGACGATCCTCCTTCTGTGATGCCGTTGTTTATTTACTCCTTTTTTTATATGAGAATTATGTATACCTTTTTATCTATATTTAGTGCATAAACATTATTATTATCACCGTAGTGTGCGCTGGTCAGGCCCTATCCCCCGAAGCCCCGATACATTCGGGAGGGCGAGCCAGCATTATCAACCAATGACCACTCCACACAACGTGGGGTAAGTGATCATTGGGTCCGAGAATCATGTGCTTCGAACAAGCGCAATAGAATGGCAGCCTTCTGCATCTGTGCGGCTAAGATTTCTGCCTTAGTGCGGCAAGCCGGTATGATTTTATGATTCGAGAGTATAGAGAGGACATCATTCCACCAAGGACTCCAATAATTAGAACAACCATCTTATAATTCTCTGTCGTTATGCGAAAAATGTGCAAATATTTTCAAATATAATTCGTCACAAAAATGTATAAATCATGCATAGAAGTTATTTTCAGATACAAACTGGAAAAAAACCCTCTAGAAACAACTACTTTCACATAAACATTGAATTAGACGAAAGAAAAAGTACTTTCTAAACAAATGAGCGTATGCATGTCATATGTCATTAAGCAGGTACTCTCATCGTGACATGAAATTCAACTCATCCATGACAAAGTCGGTATAGTATGCAATAAGACAAGTATCTCTTCCAAAACATCGATGTCCGCCAGTGATCCAAATTTTACATCTATAATATTGTGTAGTTTTAAGATAGAAATTGTGTTCTGGAGTTCTTCTAAAATAATTTGCTGTTGCATGTATCAATAGGCAAGTTTATTCACTTCTCTGCGGATTCTTCATTTGAAATAGAAAATTTTCGCAAATTGAGCCTTGAGAAATAAAAGCGTAGGTATCGAACATTTCGTTCAAATCGACAAGGGTGCTGGCAAAAATCGGGTATTTCAGACACACTTGTAGGTAGTTTGACGATTCATCATTGGCAACACTGATTAAGCTCCCTATCGGTTGAGTAAAATAGCTATGGGTTTGAATTCAAAATTTCTTTTCATGCTTATTTGTATTCAATACAATAGAGACAATAATTATTATCATATTATTATTATATCCTAACATTCGGTAATGTATAACTTAGAGTACTTAGACAGAATGATTTGTCTTGACTTTGATCAGGTTGAAAATCTCTTCCCGTACCCTTTAAACTGTCTTTCGCCATGGGGGCGAGTGGTTCAAATCTCAAGGTGTTGTTTTGCTAACGACATAGAGGTCAGTGACATCTATGCCGCTCTGGCCTTGTGTACCCCTTCCTGACTGGGGTATTGATGAACAAACTGTTCATTTTAACAGACGTCGTGGGGAGGAGTACTTAGACAATGGTACAGCCAAAGAGAAGATTACAAAAAGTGACCAGTGAAAGCGCGAGAAAAAGAAAACCCCAACAGTCGCCATCTACCAGACTCGACGGGAACTTTCATAAATGAAAATCATGAATTGGCGCTACTTTTCCAAGGTAACTGTAAAAATTTTGTTTCAACGCAAGATGTAGTCATTGGTCATTGTCTAAAGATTTATGGACAATGATGTAGTTGTTCCTTTCAATAATTTGAATTTTCATTCATATCTGGGTGCGTTTGAGATATAAAAAAATGCTACATGAACGTGCGTTTATTTTTTTTCTATCTCAATACAGGTATTTTAGGACATTTCAAATCTAAAAAGTTCGCTGTATCATAAAACTATGTTCCAAAAATCGAATACCTACATCATTTCTTAATACTCTCTGAGAATTTCAGATTTTAACTAGACTTTTCAATATATTGCAAGAAATACATGCAATCACAAACCACCATAGAGCAACTTACTTTCACCTTTAGTATATTTCAAGTGAATATTTGTATTTCAACTGACTTAAAACAAATAGCGGGGAGCACACAAAATCAGAAGATACTATAAAGAAGATTGTATCGAAGGGAGATACATACGTATAAGAAAATAAAAAACACTAGACACAGTAGAGCAATACAAAAAAATGAGATGTAAAAGTAGTATAGTGCCCAGCAGCTTGAAAGCGAGCGAGGGATATTATAACTTCTTCGCGTGTGGCGAAATTTCTATCTATGCCGCTCAACCCCGGGGAGAATTGTGTGGCGTGTGGAATACTTTCATAGTTCAGTCTAGTATCCCTGACTGGCTAGTCGAAACAGCACTTTGCTTCGTTTTTAGGCCCTGCTTTCAACTAGTAATCATGCGGTGAAATCGGCAGAGACGAGTCTCATCTGGTAGTCGTTGTCTAAGCTTGGCTTAGACATTGAAAATTTAACTTTTCTGTCGATCTCATTGATGGTGTCTTGATACTTGTAAGAGAAGATGTCCTTGATTACCTACCAAATATTCGAATCAATATGTAGCAAAATGGTTAATAATTTCTCAGTAGGTTCTCAAAGACATCAATCCTTTTTTCAATAAAATTTTGTGTCCGTTTCGAAACTGCTCGAATGCTTTTCAAAGGAGTCCTGCCATAAATAGCTTGCTTTTTTCCTTGCTCTCTGCTGCAAGATGCTCAGATAAGCCAAGCATTACTTCTGAGGGCATATTGTTCAATCATAAATGGGTAGAAGGCATAGCTGTATTAAACTGCATGCCAGGTCACATGACCTTATCCTCCTTGACTTTTTTCTGTGGAGCTCTTTAAAAAATGAAATGTGTGAGCTTCTTGCAGGGAATACTGAAAAACTTGTAAGTTATCGAGTGTTTCTGAAATGTCTGTGAATAGCATTTTTAGAAGTAGTCATTAATTGATAGGTATTACTGAATCATAATTTTTATTACAAAATCAAAGATGAACACAAAGCTCAAATAATCAAAAACTAAAATTTTATGAAGTTTTCCACATGTATGGGACTGTCTGCAGGAGGCGACATACAGCGTTGTAAGTTATTGCGTTGAAATATTCATTGGTAAAAACTAAATATTCATCTGCAATTATTCCATTTCCGGTTGAAACACCATGAACCTGAAAATAAATATCAATCATAATATGCATATGTCAATACATGTTACAATACGAATTTTGAATGCAATTTTTGATTTTTTGCTTCCATATGCAGGATGTATGTGCCTTCAAAAATTATTTATTTTTTGAGAAAGTTATATTGTCATATAACAACCATTATTTTTGAAATTCTGATTGAGGTGAGTAATGAAAATCCTCTTTTCTCAATAACAAATTATCCTGTATTTTGTAGCCATAAACTTTCCGCCAAAATAATAATGATGGTTACAAATTTAATATCCAAATTTTTCATTTCTGTTGTGTTTGTACCTAAAACATCTCCATAAATGATGACCTTTACTTTGATTAGGGATTATGCTATATTTTATAGGTCCTAAAATACTTGAGGAAACAATGATAATTGTGATTGAAAGTTGTTTTCAATTCTGGTATTTTTTTGTTTTTGAAAGCTTTTCAGTTAGAAATGAGGAAGAGTGAAAATCTTCTTTTTATTTGTAGTCAATATAGGGTGTGAGGTAAGGAGTCGGGAAAGTTTTCAAAAATACAAGAAAAATAGGTATCAGAAACACATAACAATCATCATCAGTTTTGAATAAATCAATTGTGTAGGATGAATGCAACCTCACAGATTCAATATCTGCCTGAGCATAAGAACATTTGTGGGTTTGCATACTGTAAATGTATTGAACACATAACTACGCTCGACATGTTGGCTTGTGATCAACTGATTTATTGTTAAATTAGCAAGTTGGAAACAGAATATATGGCTCCTGAATTATTTTATGAAACCCATCGGATTATTCAAAAACCAAGAAACGATTAAGGTTTGGTTTACCTCAACATAACCCTCTAACTGACTGTCGATAGGCGTCTTCACTGTTACTCTTACAATTTTATCATCTGGTGTTTTCATTTCAAACCACAATCCATTAGGTGCCTTTTCTTTAACAAATCCCGTAAGGCTCACTTTTTTGTTGATATGAGCAAGCAGCATACTACCATTTACTATTTCCCTAACGTTACTCATAATTTTGTGAAATAAATATTTGATTATCGGAAAATCCTGGAAATTAAAAACTATACAGAAACCCTAAAGACACACTAAGACATAACCTGTTCTTCAATTAAATATTAACGATTTTTGTTTTTCGCGGTCTAATCACAGAACATCCCAATTCTTTTGTTTTAAAGCGATGCCACAGAACTTGGAATAATAATAATAATAATGGAACTTATTGACGGTTCCATACAATTGCAACCAATAAAATGGCAGGATTCAATATCTGCCTATGATAAATCATCGCAGATATTGATCTTCCATCCAACCAAAGGAACAAAAAAAAGTTACAGTAAACTCACAGAACATAAAAAAATAAAATATCAAAAGTAACCACGTTAATAATCCAGGACGTCATTGGCTGCCAGGAAGAACCTTGAGAGTAACTCAGAGCATCTTCTTGACTATCTAGTCTTTCTCGTGAAATAATTTACAAAAATTTAATTTGTTGACTCGGGGTTTATTGCCATTCTGATTTTAATGGCCGAAAAACAAGGACATCTGCAGGTTACAAAATGTGAGTTGAATTTGACGGAAGTGCATAAAGTATTATTCCATTACTATCACAGAACTCACACAAAGGCAAAGTCATATGTAAATTGTACCCATCTAGAGACAAAATAATTGGCTTTTGGATTTTGTTTTCCTGTCACCACTTATTGAAATCATGGACGATGTTCTTTAAAAATACGTCTCCCTTTTTCCAACTCGTGTCCGACCTCCCTAAAGTCCAGTGATCAGGCATACTTGCTACCAAAGCTCGGGGTGGTCTTACATAAGGAAATACAACTAACGGAGAAGCTAATTTTCCATTGGCGGAAAATGTTATCAGAACTGTTATATTATTTTTTTGACCCAATTCTTCATTATACAGATTTGTATACCCCTTAGGAGCCCATCCCCGAATTATGACATTTACTGTAAACTCAGACTTATTCTGCTAGGATTCTCCATAATTTGATTTAAATATTAGATGATAAATTATCTTTCAAATCACGAAACCATGTTCCTAATAAGTGCACGAGCCTTATTTATACATTTGGCTACCCTTAAACTTATTTCGCGATAACAATTTAAAAAATGTTTGCCCAGGATTTTTGTCCTCAGATAAATAATTTTTCCTGAACCTTTTGCTACTTTCTCAACGGTATCCAAATGGTCAGTTTTTTGAGTGGATATACAAATTTAGCAATATTTACTCTAGAAAGCATCTCTGTGAATAAAATTCTAATGAAATTAAACACCAAAAATATGGTGGTCACGTCGAAATAAATTGAAGTAAAACAATGTTAATGGTCAAAAACTTGACTCATCGTTGTATATACCTTTTCGTTTCTCGACCAGTCGGTTGAAAAAGGACAGATCAAAGCTTTTCAGCTTTTCAACTCCTGTTATCCAATCACCCTATGTTCAAGTAATATTTGTTGGAAAATCAATTTAAATAATATTTTATATATGTACAAGTCATGTAATGTTTCGAAATAACAAAACACTAGTTGAAAAATGATATTTTATTACTCTCACTGCTCATTTTCACCGACATGTTCCACCAGAAATTTTCTACAAAAATCAACCAAGTGCTAGAAACAAACTGCATTGTTTGACTTTCGCGCTAGAATTAACAGGTGAATTTTCACACAACCAATTTGAACGTTTTGAAGTGAGTCGATGACGGTTGGTCGAGAATAAGTTAGATATTAGAGAAAGACTACCATGATCCTTTCTCTTATTTTAGGCATTTGCTGTCAGCACACAGCAGTCGAAAACAGGAACTGGTCGGATAACTAACTCGTTGACCCTATATCAAATTGAAATTATGAAGAGGCTATGTGAAAATTGCTTAGAAGGGCTTAAGAAAAAAAAAGAGTATTCAAAGTCGGTACAAGTTATTAAGTTTTTTTTGATAAGCATACTTATTTCGAAAATAAGTTAGATGTTGGAGAAAGTCTATCATGATCTTTTCTCTTATTTTAGGCATTTAACGTCAGCACTCGGCAGTTGAAAACAGGGTTACCCGACGAATTGACCCTGTGAATGAAAATAAGGTCGTTTAGTCCAATCTAGTTTTGTGCATTTTTAATATATTTTGATAATGCTCATCCAGAATACAATGGCAAAAACTTGGCGTTATCAAAATACGCAACATTAAAACTGCACGTTTGTCTAAAGCTAGTATAACGTCACGAATTATGTGCGATTGGCCGTACAGGGTCTGAACTACTTCTTAAATGTTATCAACCGAAGCATTTAAAATTTGGGGTTTGAATGAAGAAATCTTCAGTTCGGGAAAGTTTTATTACAGCAGACACAAGTAATTCTTAATACAGGTAGACTTGCTCATAGTGAAGGAATATTTCAATAAGAAAAAGACTTTGTTTTTTATCAAATTCGATTCGAAACATTTCTGAAGTCCAATTGTTCAAATTCAAATGTTTGAAGCAATGAGAAATAAAAATGTACTAATATATTTGAGTGAATTAGTATGTTTAGAAAATAACGGTTTGTCCACTCTGTTCATTAATAGGCAAAAGTGCCTTTTTTATTACTTTCAAATAGATGTGAGGTATTTATGTATTAAAATGATCTTCCTAACAAAAACAAATTCCTTTTCTACTTTTTTTTTTTGGTAACAGTTAAAAACAATTTGGTGCATTTTGGGTTAAACACGAACACCCAACAATTTAATTAGAGTTGAGAATTACATACCTGAATATTGAAACGGTATTTTCAGAATTCAAATTGAAAATATATAGTGAGGCAGTTATCACACTAACAGCACAGCAACAATTCCAATGCTCTCATGAGAATTATGAAATGAAGATGAAAAAATCCCAGTAATCCTTATCCAAGGCACGTCAGAAGTTGCACAAAGAAAATACTGTAATGAAGAAACAAAAACCATAACTAATGAACCATTTTAGATCGCTTAAAGCAAATACAGAAAGCCAAAATTGACTCTTCTCAGAAAATGGCATACCTTGCTGAAAGCAATATGCATTGTGGTGAGTTCATTTATCTTGGTTTAGAAATCAGCATAATTCTTAATGATACAAAGAGTCAAAATATTTCAGATCTATTTTGCATACAAAGCATTTAACTTAATTTAAAAATAATTCCAAGCGATTTAATAACTACAGGGTAGGAGGTTTGTATAATTAATAAAAAATAATACTTCAGCGTGAATGGTCAATAATAGAAGCTATGAATAAGGAGAAATAATTTTCCTGTTTCAGAGTGCATTTCAATAATGAAAGTATCCAATTTAATGAAGTAATATGATGTCAAATAATGCGGAAAAAGATAACTTGCCTGATATTTTGTTTTTATGGTTTTTCAGCTTCGTCAGTGATCGTTCATTACAAGTGGTCACTGATGGAACAACTAGTAACAGTATGAACTAATCAGAACGACTCACCAAAAGTATGGACCAATCAGCAGTGAGCGTTCGCATCGACACCATACATCGTCCATACCATCAGCCCCACCACCCTCTAAAAGTATAAATACGAATGAATGCGTAGCTCTTCAGTCCACCCCTTCCGACAAAGCCGAAGCCTTCCGTGAAAATCTCGAAAAAACCTTCCGTCTTCCTAAAGACCCACAATTCGATAACCTATTTCTTAACCTCATTCACCAACAGGTGCCGGCGCAGTTGGGCAGGCACCCAGGTCAAATCCCCCTCGACGCCAACTGTCCCTTAAGATCCCCATTCAGCGAGGAAGACATCCTCAACTCTATCCACAGTGGTAGAAATACCGCTCCTGGACCAGACTCGGTTAACCGCCGTGTTCTGAAAAACCTCCCCGCCTCAGCAATCCCATTCATCAAACACATCCTAGATGCGTGTCTCGCACACGCCTACTTTCCAAACGCCTGGAAACAGGCTAACACAATTCTAATCCCTAAACCCCACAAGGATCCTACTAATCCCGANGATCATACCTAAATTTCCAAAACTTATCGCGGTAAACTGTGAAAATACAAGAAAATGTAAAAATTATTTCCCTAATTGTTGATTATCTCTGAAGTTAATGAAAATAAATGAAAACCATATCAGAACTGAATACTACTCATATCATTGAGTTTTATAGAATAGATTAACGATGTTTTCAACTTCGCAGGTAGTGAAAAACAGAAAATTGTTCACAATTTATGAATTTCATCAATGTTTTTATGAGTACATATATTTTTCATTCATGAATTTTTTTTGTGAAGTGCTGTTCAAGAAGTTTCGAAGAAAAAATGAAAAAATGCCCCATTTCCGTCCTTGAATAATGTTCAAAATGTAATGCGCGCGATAGTGCGCACTTATGAGTTAGCGAGAGGGAAAGATAAATAGTAAATTCCCGGGAACTCTATTGTTTGTTTGAAGTAGGAAGTTGAGCAGTGAAGATGGCAGAGGCAGGAACTTCCAGGCAGCAACTTCCAGTTGCAAAGGAAGAAGTAAGTTTAAGAAAAATTTATGAAAAGAAGATGAAGCGGCCTTTACCTATAAAACCTCTTGAGGGAAAGGATTTGATGATATCAGTGGTTGAGAAGCACATGGGAAATGAATGTTTCAAGAAAAAGGAATACAGAAGAGCTCTCGAGCATTACAATAGAGGAATGCGGTACTGTCCCCAAAATAACGGTAATATTTTTTTCTTTCTAATCCGTGATAGTATATTTTTGTTTTCATTATTTGTCTAATTTTCAAAATGCCATCGTTTCATTTTCAAGCTTCTGTTCTGTTTTGGCCATCACAAGAAATGCGTGCAGTTGTTTCAGTTTTCAGTAGTTGTGTCCGGAAAATGTTTTCATGAATAAATATAACAAATCAAATTGTTAATTGGATAATAATAAAGGCAATCAAAATGAATAAGGCAACTGATAAACGCCTTCAACTATAATTTTCACGTTTTACTTTCAAGTAAAAGAAAATGGCGTCATTGACGCCAGTTTCTAGTACCTATGTTCAGTCATGATAGAGAGATGTTTATTGAGAATTATTGAGTGACTCAAGTCCGATGCTACCAGTAAGATAAAAAAATACATGCATCTTAACTATTCGGTCATTATGATTAGAAATTTTTGAGTGATTTTTCACAAGGGTATTCAAAAATCAACATGGAATTATAATGGCTCAAGCTCAAAATGAAGGAAATCCTCCATTAAATTCAAAGGAAGACATACTACTTAAAGAACTTCATGAAAATTCTGTCAGGAGGGTTTGCATCTAGTTCAAGAAAGCGCCAATGACATGAAGACTGCTCTTAATGAAAGTAGTTTGTGAAATAAATTTCATGTCAGAAGTGAATTCATGGAAGCTCTTCCACATTTCAACCATGGAATTCTGATCTGTCCTCACTATTCAGGTCAGAAACAAAATTCTTTTTGATTATCTTTACTGTATTGTATTGCCAGCTTAATAATTCGAAACTGATACATTTTTTCACAAAGTGAAACAGAATTGAATCTGCACATACATTTTTTATCTGCCTATTGTGTTTGAAAATTTAATGAAATTTGTTTGAGGTGACTAATTCTTCTGTGGCACAAATTGCTTTTACTCATATTTTTCTACCATTTTAATGACTGGCTCCTAAAGACTATTTCATAAGTCTGAGTCTTGAGTAGTCGGTAAAAAATGTGAAGAATAAATGTGTTCATTTTGCAAATCAACTATTCCATAGTTGGACAGTATTCAAACGTCAAACAGTAAGTGGTCAAAAGACTAAATATTGATTATGGATGAAAACCTTGCAGTAATGTTAGTTATTTCATTTATCTTTGAAAAATATTCACATTTTTTTAACTTATTTTGGTAATATTGGTGAAGAAGGCTACAAATGTCAGTTACATTTGGGGTGTAAAAAGTGCATGGTTGCGGTTTGTTTTGTATTAAAAAAAACACACTTCAATGTGAGATTTCCAAAATCTCGACAAGTGTTTCACTATGCAATATACTTCCTGACATCAGATAATAATAGTCATCAGAATTCAAACAACTGATGGAAATTTCAAGTGAAAATCTCACAGTAGTGTTTATTTTGAATATGTTTATAATGGATTTTCATCACGTTTCGGTCAGTTCTATCACATTCTTTAGTTTGTTTTGTATAATTTTTGCTGGTCTCTTCAATTTATTTGGAATTAGACTCTCATTTCAAAACTCACATTGTTTTCAACAGTAATAATAAGTTGAAATTTCATAAAAATTATAAAGTTGTGAAGGTTGTGGCTAACAAAGTGAGATTGTGTCATAACCAGCAACCAAAGCACCTAAATACATATTTTATATACTTCATACACAAATTAATAAGCTTTTCAATAGTGAATCAGGCAATTTCGATTACGATACAAGCATTATTCCACAATTACATTTTTGCACCTCTGTACTATGTACAAGTGGTGTTTGAAAGAAACTTTACGATGCTTTAAAAATAATACCGGATATTGACAAGGTATGGGTCCATCTTATCCTTAGTAATATTAGTTTTTTTTTGTACCACTGTAACGTAGCGTTCCTCTGGCCCCTGAGAAGTGCTACACACAAGTATTATGTGAGCTGTATTGGTGGGTAGGTTGTTTATACATTATAATTTTATTGGAAAAAACATCAAGTACCATACTACGCACAGTTTTTTGGATATTTATGAGGAATATAATGTTGTCCTTGTGAATATATTTTTGGTATTGGTATATTTGGCATATAAAATATTTTGAAACAATTAAAACTTGGTTATTTTTGCCAAATCCAAAATAATTGAATACCTATTTATTGTTATACCTAATTTCAATGTTTTTGTACCAGTTTCACCTTCTCTCATCGTGAAAAAAACTCAATGTCACAAAATGACTACAGAAAATTAAATTTTTATAACTGAAAGATTTTTGACTTGAGTTTATCTTATTACTTGAAATCGATGATACATATATTAATTAAAGATTAGCTTCTCATCACTGTGAGAAAAAAAGTTTTAATTGATTTTATGAAAATGATTTTCAGTGGCGTTCACATACATTTCACACAGAAAAAATACACCATACCAAAACTGTAACACTTTGCTCTTAAGGCAGACACACAGCTCTCGAAGCTGTGTGTTTGTTTTAACTGTTATATTTGTACAGTGAGATCGAAGGTCTTAGAGATGTTTGGGAAAGTTCTACGGGAAATTATTTGGACCAATACTTTTTATTTATAATACTACAATCTGATGATGAACTTTCAATTGGAGATCCATATTTGTTAGACATTATGAGATTAGGCATCCATATGTTAGAGAGACCAAGATATTTGGAACAAAGCAAAAACTTATTAGATTATATTCAAGATAAATAGGCGAATATAAAATTAAAAAAATAACTTTTGTCTAATTTCTACTTAGACCGAAACCGGTCTTAACAAATGATAAACTTAGTAGGAATTACACAAAAGTTATTTTCTTTATTCTATATTCAATATGAATTTCTACAAAATAAATAGGTCATCAATTGAAGCAGTTAAATAAGAGACTTCAAATTCAATCACCTTAAGCAATAGTAAAAATTATATGAACCTTCTTGGGTATCCAAATAAATGAAACCAGGTCAATCAAATAGCAAAAACGTCTTCTTATTCTGATGAAGAGTGCATTAAGTATGGTGTTCCTTAAGTTTCCAGGTCCCACCCTTTTCTTAGTAAATATCAATAATTTATTGAATATTGACATATGTGGTAAATTTACAGTATTTGCGGATAACATTGTCGTGTTCCATTGTTTTTTTGCTTTGTTTTAGAATTGAAATATCAGTCTCTCCCTATAACAGTTGCGACTAGATTCCTAATTAGGTCCGCCAATTTATTTGTTTTTGTTCTACAGTATCGGCTTCTGATATGTGTAAATTCATTTTCAATTGAATGGGTAGGGTGAAGATAATATTTTACAGTTTACACAACACTAACATTCAATGCTAACAGCGAGTTTATAACTCGCTCAGAAGATGACACAGTGTGTCGAAACAGCTATAAGGTGTTTCGTCATACTACCCATTCAATTACTTTGTTTTTTGTCAATTGTTTTTTATTTATTACTATCATGGTCCAATTGTCATTAGTACCATGTACACCCAATGTTAGACCTATGAGTTCTTTTAGGTAAGTGCTTATTTACTGATCAATAACTGTATTCCATAGTCGAAACATAAAAGTTGTTTAGTTATATTTCAATAACACGCAATTAATTCAGTTAGTTCACTAGCACACCTTGATGGACACTTTTACATCTTTTCTAGTATAATCTCGATCCATTTAGAACACTGTCTCTCTCTCATTCCTTCAAAAGTTCAAATATACAGGATAAAAATACCTGTAGTGTATAATCCTTCAAATACAAATAATTCAATCATCTCACCACATAATTTTCGCATACTTAATTGCTTTTAAATCTTTTCTAGTAGCACCTCTAATCACGATAGGTAATCTCATCAAGTTACTACATCTCTGAAAACTCATCTGCTTGATCCTGATATTCTAATGTGGAGATTTACCCATTATACAGCCTTATACCGAGCCAGTCTTTCTACGTAGATTTCTAGTGGCCTGCTACGTGGAGTTAGTTCTATACAGTAGACCATTTCATTTAATTTATTTGTCACCAAGTAAAAACCTTTTTATCTCCTCTTAGCTTGTCCTTAGCTGTCCTTTCAGGTCAGATGGTAACAGTGAAACTCTGCCAAACTCTGAAAATCTGTGTCCTTAGGCAGCAGGGCCTGCTGTTTCATCATTTTTCACGCATTGTCTTCCGACAGTTCAAGTCTCCGTATATGATTCAGACGACACTGAGCTGTGAGTAAGCCTGTTAGACAACGCAGGTCATCCCTGATGTAATGTAATTTAACAATTGGTTGGTGACATGGAATGTATAAATGCCTTAGATTGGACCAATTCTAGTACAATTTACCAAAAATCTGCAGCTCTTCTTTTGCAGTCCAAGTGTTGTTTGAAAAGCCTAAAGCAATGCGAATGACATGTTCTGGTCCTATGAAACTACTCGCAGCTCCATGCCTTGCGAGGGAGTCAGCAGCTTCGTCCGCAGTCTTGGTTTTTCGAAAAAAGTCACTTTACCGAACATTTTTCAAAGCCCCGAATTCTAGGGCAGTTAGTAGTAGTGAAATAATAGATAAATGCTGATATAACTCCATTACTTGTCGCATTTTCCTGTCTTTAAACCGTTACTGAAGGTGACACAATCTGTTCTATATTTTTTTAACTTGAGATAAGGCTAAATAAATGAGTATTTTTATGTTTGCTCATATTCCTGCGAGGTCTCTTTGGGTTTTTGATGGAATCTACTCCCAATAAGTTAACAGAACAAAAATACTGTATCTCGATGCACCTTTCGCTAACCAAATTAGCATCATCAGGAGATAACAGTTTTAGTCATCTAATGATGCTAACTTGATTAGCGAAACGCGCATCGAGATACATTTTTCTTGTTCTGGTGTGGAAAAAGTGATTTCAATAGTTTGATTTTACACCAGAGGTTTCATTTCTACCTATGAAGAAGAAATTTTGTTGATAAATTATACCAATTTGAAATAATTTAAAAATAGTGTGAAAATAGCAATCTCCTCATTTTCATCTTATAGTTTTCCATACACACGAACACAATTGTTGTAAAAATTAGCAATGCCACTGAATAATCGAATACAATTTTTGCGGTTTTATTCCTCCAACCTTTTTGTTCCAGTTGTTTCAGACATGTCTACCATTATTTCTTATATTGTTTAATTTTTTTTTGTTGCTTTTTTCTGTGACGTTCTCATTCTTCTTCTTCACAGTAGCTTTTTCGTAGCGAATAACATACTTAAAGTTAATTCTTTACTCTAATTTTTATATACCCCACGTAATCACCAGTCAGAACTACCTACTCCGGTTCTTACTCGATCATAGTTACCTAGAGCATGAACTCAACTTTTATATACCTAAGGTACATCCTCAATTATGATCACCTAGAGCATATATCAATTTTACATCAATAATAATATGTCCATGAAGTCTAAAATACAAAGGTTTCTAAGAAAACAAGTTCAGTAATGGTGAACTATTTGAATCCAGTTGACCATTCAGTAAAATGTTTGAATTTTTTAGTTTCATAATTTCCGCTACTTCCAAATGATTTAGCTCAAAACCTCAATTTTCTATGTGTGGAATTTCGAAATCTCCGTTAAAAATAGGATTTTCTTCTAAATGATGATTTGAATATGTTGAACTTGTTTTCTTATTTACATAGCTCATGTGATGGTTGTGGATGCGATTCTTGAATGTTCTGCTGGTTTGGCCAATATATACCTTAGGACAAGTTCCACAATTCAATTTATATACTCCTGATTTATAGACTTTGGATGTTTGTCTTTATTATTTTCAACTTACTTTCCCAATGTATTACCTGTTCTATAAACAATTTTAATATCTTATTTACTCAAAGATGAAGTCACTTTTTCTGTTGTTCGTCCAAAATATGTTGAAGCTCTATAATTTT